CCTCCAACATCTGCCTTTCAAGTGCTGAGGCTGTGACTTGGAACACTGGGATGGGGATGGGCGACTTTGAATTCTAAAATGTGACCTTTAGCATAACTGGGTATAAATTTTGTGTTTTTTCCTTCTTTTAGAGCAGTTCATTTTTACAAGGCTATTCTACCCCAAGTTCTGTTCTGTTCACACTGGGGACATTACAGGGCATATTTATCTTTGCTCAAAGAACAATTTAAGTTCTATAAGGATGTTCTTTATTCTTTATATTTTAAAGCGATCACATTTCTGACATGCCATTTCCCCCCACCAAGACTATTTTTCTTCTGACAATCATTTGACCCAGTAGCATTTGGATATTGAGAAAGAGGAGTGAAGTGGTTTGAGCTTATCTGATATGAACAACACTTTGACATTTTTCTTGGAGGTAGATCTGTTTTCTGCCAGGCAATGGTTTTCAAAGTGTGGTCCCTGGACCAGCAGGATTTTCACTGGCCTCTGAGTTTGTAAGAAAAGAAGATTCATTTTTTTTTTTTGAAAAGAAGATTCTTATGCCCCACCAGACAATCCTAAACTTGGATTGGAGCCTGGTTTTAGTAACTTCCCCAAGTCTTTGTAATGTAGGTAGTGGATCACAGTTAACAAAGTGTGGTCCATGCAGCCAGCAATGAGTTGGACTTGGGGGCAAATGGAAGTTGAGACTAACTCACTTCTCCATCCCATCATTGATATCCAAGTCACATTTTTATTGAAGATCAATCCTCATTCTAGGAAACCACAGTATATGAAAACTCAGAAAAACATAAGCGTTGGAGTTAGATAGACGTTTGACTTTCTGCTTATTGGTGTGGTCTTGAAGCCTACCTAAAACCACCTGTTCCTTCATCTACAAAATGGGACTAGTGTTAGTGCCACAAGCTCATGGGGTTATTTTGACTATTAAATGAAACAATACATGTAAATAGTACTCAATTGCTTGATATTTGAAACCACACTTGCTATGACACACATAGCTACTTTTTAAAGCTAGTTTAGTTTAAAATGAGCTGTAAAGACAATCAGGTTCTATATTTTCTTTCTATGTTTCTTGGAAAGAAAAAAACAAGCCTGACCATCTATGTAGGACATGTGTATAGCTATAACAGCTATGAAACTGGGCATTACATCTCCGTGTATTCGTGTCTGTGCACTAAAATATATCTAGCAGATGTTGTATTAGCTTGAAAAACATTTTTGCATCTAACAAAAGGTAACTGCAACTCAATATTCTACAAAGAGAATTTACTGATGAATTTTAAAATTAACCTTGTTGTGGTAGTCGGTGAGCTGATGAAAGAACATAGCCTTTCTTCCTCCTCCTTTTCCTCCATCTTCTTCCTTCATGTCATGTCAACAGAAAGCAGTAATCAAGACAAAGCTAAAGGAACTGGGTGCAATTTTTGCTTTGCTGATGTGAACTATCTTCCCATAATGGAAGTCAGAAGGTCAAGTAAGGAGACTATTCTCAGGTACCCCTTCCCTGCCTGCTGCAGCCTCACTGAGGAGAGGGCAGGAGGAAGATGTTTCTTGAGGAAGCACTTTGGACTTGATTAAAAAGTCAGTAGCATTAAAAAAAAAAAAAATGCAGGGTAGCAGTTCTCAACCAGGAGAGAATGATGGGAAAAACTAACACACGTCAGTGCCTGCTATGCCAAGGGAATCTCTTACAGGGGTTTTGTTCAGAATGAAGGAGACAGTGAATATTTTCAGATGCTAGCGAGTGTTGAATAAGAAAAATGCAGAATGGACTTCACACATTCATGCATCAAATACTGGAAGGCCGTCAACCACACAGCAGAGAAATGTAAGGGAACCATCTATTTGGTAGGTTATTTTGAATGTTAAGCCGCCAAATGTTTGTTTGTGTGGATAGCCACTGCTGTATTTTGAGAGCGCCTTTCTAAGAATCCTGAAATATTAATAACATGGTCTTAATGTAGTTGAAGACAAAAGAATGTGTTAAGGGTAGCAAGAGCTGCCGAGAATAGCACAATGACAATTTTATATTTTCTGCTTGTGCTTGTAAAACAGGAAAAGGGTAAAAATACTCGACATGTTAAAAAAACCCCGAAGCTTTCAATTCTCCAAATTGGTATGAAGCTGTGTATTTCCCAAATGAATTCACGTATTTTTATTCTTGTAATATTAGTATCAGCTTGGAAGAAAATATAAGCTTGCAAGTTCATTTTTTCCTTAAATTCACCTAAAATACTGAATTTGGGGACTTTAACAAATTGGAAGAAACATCTTCCAATCTGATGTTTGTGAACTCTGGAGTTTAATTTTTTAAACTAATAGTCTTTTCAGAACTACATATGTAAGTTGAAGAAATAGCAGTGACCCCATGAGATTTTTAGAGGTACTGTTTTCAGTGGGACACAATGGCACACGCCTGTCACCCCAGCGGCTCTGGAGGCTGAGGAAGGAGGTTCTCAAGTTTGAGGCCAGCCTGGGCAACTTGACCAGACCTTGTCTTAAAAAAAAAAAAAAAAAAAATCACAAAGGGGGATGGGGGGAGTGGCTTAGTGGTGATGAGACACTGCTGGATTCAATCCCCAATTCCCCAACCAAAACAAGTGCTGTTTTTGTGTCACATTGACCAGTCATTGGTTAATTTTCATTATTATTCATCTTCTACTCCCACTATTCAATTTTAGATCTTGATTCTGGATGAAATCAAAAGCACATGAGAATCAGTCAGGAACAGTGATTGTTCTTGGGGAAAAAACAAAACAGACATAAGGTGTGCCTTCTTGGCAGTTCTGAACAAGTTACCTTCAGTGGTTTTTATTGACTGTGACCCGCTGATGACAGGTGGGACCCAGGGATTTTGGGCTCTTTGTGTTGATATGGCCCGGCCTGAGCCCCAGTGCTTCTTCCTACCAAACCTGGGTTTCCGATTTTAATGGAAACCCTAGGGCCACCTGAGGTTGGCCAAACAGCCCCTTGCAAGGTGAACCTTATCTAATTATGCGATGTGTGTAAACTTGAGACACATAAATCTCAGTCACTGGAGCAGCTTGTTTTTCTAAGATGCTTCGGTCCAGTGAAGGACGAAAGCAAATAAGGGAGAGATTGATCTCTGAGCGCTTTTATTGTTGGTGCTGCACACGTCATAAAGTTTGAGCTCGTTAAAGGAAATTCCATAAACAACTTCAGTTAATAAGAGTGAAGTAACTGTGTGCCTTGCTGAGCTCCCACTAAACTCCCTTTCCGCTTGTGTGATGAGCGTGTGAGGCAGAAAATGTCAGAGGACACGCAAGAAAGGAGCAGGCTTCCGCGGAGTCTGCAAGATGCTTCATGCATGGGGCTGGGCAGGGGATCACAGCCACATAGTCCCCGAGAATCAAGTATCTTTGCAGGTCCCTTAGATCTCCTTCCAGAAAGATCTGCTGGGTTGCCAGCATTGGTTACTTTCTTGATGGTCAGGCTGATGGAAAATGTCTCCATAGGTTCTTCTCCCAGCTGGTGTTTTTGACAGTATGTATTAAATGGAGAGGACTGAGATTGGATCATGCTGGGAAGATTGAAGATATCTCACTTTTTAAAATAGACCTTTGAATTGTGCTCCATTTGTGTACAACGAAACCAAAGAACATTCTGCTGTCATGTATAACTAATTAGAACAAATAAATACAAAAGAAGAAGAAAAAATACACCTTTGATGTTATGGAATAATTTTATTTATTTATTTTGGTACTGAAGATTGAACCTGGCGGTGAGGGGTTGGGGGTCGGTTACCATTGATCTGCATCTTCAGCCCTTTTTATTTATTTTGCTTTGAGAATTGTCAAGGCTGGCCTTGAACCTGGGATCCTCCTGCCTCAGCCTCTCAACTTGCTGGAATTACAGGGATACACCACCACGCCTGGCTGGGAAAACTTTATTTTTAATAACCTTGCCTCTGTGAGTTTAATACTGATAGTATTGGTCAGTTTTAATTTCATGTTGGAACAGATCATGAATAACATAGAGGGGGAAATTGGGGAAGCAGAGCCTTATTAACTATTTTTTTTTATTATGAGATTTTGCAGCCTTATTGAATTTTTCCACATTAGCAAAAGTAGTTCTCAGTGTCAGTGTGGTGTTTATAAAAATGAAGTCATGGAAAACATCTCAGGTGCATAAAGGATTGTACCACTCTTGTTCTCTGTACCAGCCTCTTGAGGGTGAGGGTGCTGAAATAGAGGAAGAAAAAAACAGGAGGGTTTCTTTAACTTGAAATAAACAAAAAATATTTGCTGATCTAAAAACAAACAAACAAAAACCCACCACATTATATTCCAGGATCTATAGTTAGTAGTTTTTATTATTTTGCCCTGAAATCATGACAAATGCCTTACAAAACATATATATGATTGCTTTTCTTGGTTGTGTGATATGGTACTCTCTTTAGCTGTAATAGGAAATAATCACCCACCACCTCTTTGCTACCATTTAGACATACTTTCAACTGGTTGGTTACAGACCATACTCTCAGATCCCACAGTGGGTGGCTTTGGGGGCAGAACACCCAGGGTCAAACCTGGTTACTGACACTTACCAGACACTTCGTCTCATACCAGTAATTACCTGCTCTCAGCAGGAATTTCTAAGATAAAGATAATAATAATGTTCATGGGAAGAGAGTGTTATAAGAATTAAACAAGAGAGTGCAGATACGAGGTACCTGGCACTTAGAAAGGCATTCAGCAAACTTAGGCTTTGCTTTAGTGGGTACCACCAATTTTAAGCAAATATCTCCTAGGGGGCCTCTTGCCACCTAACCAAGTATGTAAAGGACCCTTAAAGGGTGGCTGTAATCAATTAATGGCTGGGCGACTATACCTGTATCTTAAGCCATAGCTGATCATCAGTAATTAGCATAAATATCTTCCTTCCTCTGAGCTAAGGAAGTGGCTTCACATTTTGCTTTGCTGTATTTGCAGTGGTTTATATTTGTTCTCTTGTTCTTTTCTCCTTCCCTGCAGCTTGCAAAATTGGATATTACAAGGCTCTCTCCACGGATGCCACCTGTGCCAAGTGTCCACCCCACAGCTACTCTGTCTGGGAAGGCGCCACCTCGTGCACCTGTGACCGAGATTTTTTCCGAGCTGACAATGATGCTGCCTCTATGCCCTGCACCCGTAAGTTGTTTGCTTGTCTCCTGTTCCTGTAATGCCAACAGCTTTCATTACCACCTAGCAGGGCACTGCCAGGTCTTCTCCCAGGATAGCCATGCAGGGGGCAAATTAGATCAAGCATGCATCTCTTCTCAATCATAGCAGGGAAAATGCTCATGAAAAGAAAGAAGCTTTTTCACCGTTTCTGCTTGCCTTCAAAATGCGCAGCTGCCAGCAGACTGCTTTGTGGAACAGAGATTGAGTGTTCAGGGGCTGTCTGACAGTGTAATTAGAGCTGAGACTGGAATTTACAAATGGCTTTACCATTGCATAGAGCACTGCGCAAAGCTTACAGCTGCGGGAGAAACAGGTAGAGAGCAGGGTTTGAGAATGTGGTTTCAGTGTGCAAAGAGACAGCTCAGTGTGTCTGAGGTCATTGCTGTAGCTGCCATTACACCTCTTCCGTCTTTCCTCATAGTTTTGTGTTCATAACACTTAGTTCTGGATCCTAATAAATGCTTCTTTAATGATAGTCACTTAATAAATGTTGGGCTAATGAATGGATGGAGCTGAGAAGCCTGGTGTGAAGGGCAGTGGAGAGAGCTCTTCTCACACCTTATTTGGAAAGTGTTCCCAGGTGTTGCTCTTCCTTTCATGCACACTCTGGGCTTCATGGATCCTGCAGTGGCTGTGACCTGGACCAGGACAGGAGTGAAGGGCCCAGCATTTCACTTCCTGGGTTTGTTAATGAAGTCTGTTTCTGGGGATGTAGTGGTTTAGTGCAAAGTCCCCAGGGTTTGAGTTTGTTTTCTGACGCACTCTTTAGTAGCTGGGTGACTGGTTAGCTTCAGTTCGTTCATCGGTAGAATGTGTTAATAATAGTACAAATTGAGTTTCCCTTTTCCAAAATGCTTGGGACCAGAAATGTTTTAAATTTAAGATTTTTTTTTTTGTGGGGAGGGGTATTTGAAAAATTGCATATAGCTAATAAGATATTTTAGAGATGGAACCCATATCTAAACATCAAATGTGGTTATGTTTCATATACAGCCGTTATGCGTAGCCTGAAGAATTTTATACAACATTTTCAGGGCATCAGTGTTTTAACTGTCCCCGATCACAAGTCAGGTGTGGAATATTTCTCTTATTGTGTCATGTCTGCACTCAAAATATCTGAATTGAGAACATTTTGGATCTGCATTTTCTGGATTAGGGGGTGCACAGCCTTGTGTCCTTTCGTGCCTGTTGGTATTTCACAGCCTCACACTGCTTATGTTATGTAAAATGCATAAAATGATGCTGCTGATATATTTTGGCTTTTACTGTAATTATAATTATCCTTATTATGTTCCTTAACAACTATAAATCCCATCTTGGCTGGCCCAGGACCAGCATCACCTGAGAATAGAAGCTCTTCCTGGCCTTTAAGTAGTTTGGGCTGCCACGAGGCCATTGTCTGTCATGACCAGGTATATCACCTTTGAAAGAAGTGGGGAGAGAGATTTCTGGTCCATCCCGAGTTTGGGCTGATATTTCCATAACCTCTGCAGCGTTTCATAACAAGAAACAATACTACTACTAATGATGATGATGATGATAACTTAAAAATCATACACAGTTAGTTAATATATGAGGGGCTTTCAAAAAAATTTCTTACCTGGTTCAGTTGTAGGGAGTCCATAAGGTAGGTGTTATCTTTATTTTATAGATAAGGCAGCTTCCAGTTCAGAGGTGATAAAAAGCATTCCCCAGACCACACCCCACTGTGGTATCAAAGCCCCACAATCGGAAGACTCACAGAGTTTCTAGTTCCTGGGAGGTTTTCTTGCACCGTCTCCCAGGTCAAGTATAAACTTCTAGAGGTGAGGTCAGCCTTGGGTGTAACCTAAGCCCACAAGGATTTCTTGGCCTTCTTTCCCCCTCGTTCCTTCTGGATGGCTGCTTTTGTTTGCTCTGTTCAAGTCCTGGCTTTGTCTTTCCCAATTGAAATATTTCTGTGATGTGTTCAAGTTTGTGTGATTCATTTAATCATAAACTTCCTCCCTCTCTTCACACACACACACTACCAACAACTCTCTCGTGGGAGTTTTGAGCACAATAGAGGGGAACTATCGGGGGCTGACCTCGTGATCCTGGCCATTTATTTGCATCAGGCAGGCCCCCTCTCCATTGGAAAAGCTTCTCCAGGTTGAGTCGGATTGTGTCGAAAATGTCGGGAGTCTCACCTGGGACCATGCGGCCTGGCCATCTCCTGATTCTCACCTGTTGTGCAGCACTATAGGGAGCCATGTGACCATTACTGAATTCCTCCTGAACCCTGCTCCTTGGGAGTTTAGGGACCCTCCCAAGGTTGCCGTGTGTCTATGATCGTGGGCTGCTGGCCACATGTGTAATAATGACAAGGCAGAGGAGCCCTTAGAATTTTACGTCTGTGGAAATGAATTAATTAGCTTTATCCTGATATTATAGATGAATTTTTAAAAATTGATCTTAACATACGTATGAAACAAAAACTTGAAAAATGAAAGTAATTTTTGTGTTTTTCTAAGAGATGGTTTTTGACAAGGTAAAGGGAGCAAGGGCAGTGGGTTTTTGAGTCATGGATAGAAGACCCATGGGGGACACCAAAGCCACAGGTGGTCCTCGCCCTCCTGCTCATGGAACTCCTCCTCCTCTCTGCTGCAAGATCACAGGCATTGTCCTAATTGTGACTGAATCTTGCTGACTCGGCACCCAGCCCCTCAGTGAAGCGGAAACTCAGTGCAGATGGTTCCACTAGTCTTACCAGGCAGACAGCCTTGGCCCTAACCACTAACCAAGTTGGTGACACTGAGAGGCTGTTTAATCTCTCCAAGTCCTTGCTCTGCCTCTAAAGTGGATTCTCACTTCTATGCCTGTGGTGGTGTTAAAAAGTGGCTAAGAACATATTTGCAAAGGTCTGGCACATGGTGAGGATCTAATAAATGTTTGTTCTCCTCCTCTTTCTTCCCTGAAAGTTCATTTCCTCCCCCAGACCACCTCCCCAGCAGGTTATCATTATGTCTTATCGGTGATTTCCTTCTGACTATACAGTGAGATTTTCTGATGGCCACATTGTACCCCTGGCTCACTGGAATGGGACTCAAGCATCAATATTTTCAAAAGATAGTCATCAATTCCACTGTACTGTTGAAGTTCAAACCACTTTTCTACAGACTTGAACTTTTAAAGTTATTACTTTTTAAATTTATAATGTTAACTATGTAAGTCTCTTGAGATCTCCTTTGAGAAAGGTATAGTCAGGGAGATGACCATTCTTTGCTCCTAGATATAACATTTATTAAGTTAGGCAGAAGAATTAAAATCCAATTCCTAGCCTATGGCTCCCCCATTAGATCTCTTCCTTCCTGTTGAATATAGTGGACTATCATTGCCCAAGACAGTAGCCACTAGGTCATGCAGCTTTTTCCAAATTTGAAGTCATTATGATTAAATTTAAAATACAGTTGCTCATTCATGCTTTAGCCACATTTCAAGGGCTTAGTAGTCACATGGGGTACTGACAATAGTAGTGGACAGAAAGTTTCTGTCCTTGCAGAAAGTCCCATTGGACAGCACTGTAGTGGACATTTCAATAGAGAACACAGTGGGAGTTTCTCAAAGAGCCTCTTGTTCAGATAACCCCCAGAATAATCCTCCCCACTCCCAGCTTTATCGGATTCTTTTGACAAGATGTGGGGATGGAAAGGAACGTAAACATCAGGGATCCTTTCAAACCGATTCCAGCCTCTAATCAGTTCTTACCAGTTGGTTAAGCCAGGTGACAAACCCAATTCCCTCGTGCTGACAGCCATGATAATCAGGCGCCTTCTTTGTTCATTACGCTGTCTTTAACCCTGGGATTCTCATGCAGCCCTGCATTTAGTGATCGCTCACTGTGACGGCACACTAATGAAGAAATAAAACACACTCTTTGAGACTCATTCTTCTAGCCAAAGAGAGACTCTGCTCCACTGGCCTGTAAAATCAGGTTTTTGTTCACTTGGAGAATGATGAGACCAGGTGAATACAAGTAGCATCAGCTAATTTAGAGGGAGACGCCTAGAGGTCCACCCCATCCGCACTGCTGGAGGACTTATGAGAATTTAATAACCAGTAAACTTTATTTTGGGGAGAACTTTTGAGCTTCTGCGTAGGCGAATAGAAACAGCTGCTGGCAGAGGTGGTGAGATCAGTCCATGGACCTGTGATCTGAGCGTTTTCAGGTGGTAACTGTTTAGGGAGTTTGGATAGTGCTTCTTAAACCTCAATGTGCCTGGAAATCTCTTAGGAATCAGAACAGGACAGAGGACAGGCCAAGATTCTTCATTTTAAATAAGTTTCTGAGTGATACAGAAGCTACTGGAATGTGAACCCGTCACCCTTAGGTAGCAAGGATGGCAGGAAGCGGGAGATCCCCTCTTTCATGCCTGTGCCGCTCCAACACTCTCGCTTGCTGGAAATGGAGTACTTCATCTGTCTTCTAAATGAAGAAAATCTGACCTGGTTTGGGGAGTCACACAATCAAATACGCTCTCTGTGCAGTTTTGTTTTTTATACTTGTTGTTATTTTTTTTTTCTCTTCCAGAGTCTCACTAGGTTATTTCCAGAGAATACAAATGCAAATGCTCACCTCAGATGGCTATATGGGTCAAGAAGGGCCACAGGGTTTTTATTGCCGGTAGGACAGATGCTATTATTCCTACACACACAAGGACACCATTGAAGCTGAAGAAGGAATTTGGGTTTCGTGAATCATCTCTTTGCAGAAATTTTGATGTGATTTTTACTAAGGAAATTGGTGTGCTCTAACTGCGGTGCCCCGTGGCCCACTCCAGATCTCCTTCCCCGTCCCTTCCTTTTGCTTTCATCTGCAGTGGGTCTGCCAATCAGCAGTATTGGGAGGGGTCCACCACGTGCCTCAGCAGGGAGATTTCTGATTACCTTAGTCCTTTGGTTCCTTGTCCAATAACTGATGTGAGAAAGGTCTTCTTTGCCCCTGCTAG